TTTTTTTTTCAACAATTACTTGATTATGAAATAAAAGTTTACCAAACAGTTATCATATTATTCCTACATCTGATTATTTCTTTAGCACAACTACAGATTATTCTCTTAAAATCACAGTAATATCAAATTCAGGCTATATAAATGTGACAGATATTGAACACTTTGAATTTATAGTAGTGAAAATTATATGGAGATGGAATCACTTACTTATGAAGATATTATTTAATGGGTACTGAATACGCCGTCGATGATAATCATAATTCAGATTATAGCTATGTTTTACAATTTATTTTATCAAACAAGATATTAAAGTAACAATAACCTTAAAAATTATTTACTTTCTACAATATGAAAACGTACTTCATATGTGATGTTTGGATTGCAAAAATCAATGTTCTAAAAAGTGTAAAATGTCATTAGACAACAAGATCAAGTTTCAAGCTTTTGCAAGTTTAAGTGAAGCTTAGGCTTAAAAAAAACGTAAAATTTAACTTGGTAGTAAGATCAAACTTCTCGCCATAGCACAACAACAACAACAAAAAAAAAATGAGAATGAAGTGATTTCAATTTGAGTGCGAAGAAATAATGCAAACCAATTTTAGATTCATCTTTTGAGAAAGAGCTCAATCGATAAAATTGTTGTCAAGTAAAAAATTCCTGATCACTATGAAACTTTTTGTCTATTCAGTTAATTTTCATATTACTTGAGCCTTAAAAAAATTTAAATAAAATTATTATCTCATTTAGAGTTGGGATTGAAATTGTTTACTAATTAAGTGATATTTTAAATTTATCCAATATTTACTTACTATTTTTAGAAAGTGAATTTAATTTATATATCAACAAAAGTAACTTTTTAAAAGCGTCTACATATCATCGTGAACAGGGAGTCAGGAAAGTAACTCAGTGAGACACAATTTATCGATATTAAATGTCGGTTCACAAATAATCATCCTCGGACGAAGCAAAATAAGTCCTACCACCCAAATCCAACCCAATTCTACTAGCACTAGAATTAAACTCAACCCCACCAACCACAAGTTCTCCCTTCGGCACCATCATGAACCCGTTCGGTCTATCCGGTTCAAGACTGAGCATTGAAGCCCCTGCTGTATAGGATGAAGCTGACGCGGTGCCATAAACGCGTGGGTCATAGAGATTAGTCAGTTGGGTGCTAATAATCCAGAGTGTCTGTATGATGAAATGGATGGTGGTGAGAAGTGGCACTGGTTGTAAAATGGGGATTAAGGTTAATAAAACTAGCCATTTCAGTGGCGTTTTGGGTAGCAGAGTAATAGTCGAAAACCTGACGGTTCTGGTTCGATTCTCGAACAGTTCCTTCACTGGAAAGCATTATTGTTGATGGATTGGCCCATTCATATTCCAACATCGCCACCACAAACAAAAAAAAAAACCCCCCTTTTCATTGTGCTACCTTTAGAACAAAGAGAACACCAAAATCTGGAATCGAGAATCTCTATTCTATGTGTGAAAAGTTGCAAAGTGGCTTTACAGTAAAGCAATGAGTTTTCTTTTAAGTTTAAACTTTGTCAGAATTTTTAGTGGATTTGGGGACATGTCGGGATTGAAGGGATTGAGCCTTTGAGCATGTGCAAATAATCAAGAAGTCACCTTGTGCAATTGGAAACTCAGCGCTGACTGCTGAAGGCTGAAGCCTAGAGCCGGGGGAGACGCTGGACGCAGGCAGAGGGCTTCACAGTTCACTCCCTTTTAATTTTTTTGGATTGGGCTTCACTCATCTTGGGCTGAAAGTCAGCCCATTACTAGAAAAAAATTATTATGGGTATGGGATTGAGCCCAGTAGTTCAGGGTGGGCCTGTGCCCACCCTGGTGCTCAATGGGCTCCGACCCCTCGTTGTACAAATAGAAAAAGTGGAAATTACACAAAACCCTTCTTTTCAAGATCCATTTTCAAAAATCAGATCACAAGTTTCATTTTTCAAAAATTAGATATTTCATATTTAATTAAATATTAATTAGACAATTTTCAACTCAACCATAATTAATTTCCCTCAAACCGTCTTCTTCCTTCTCTCCATATCCAGCCTCCTTCCCCCAAACAGTCTTCTTCCTCCTTCTCTCCACAGCCAGCCTACTTCCTCTCCATCTCCCTCTTTCTCTCTTCGCCGAACCCACCCCCTAATTCGGCACCACCAGTCATTCAGCG